TAGATCAAGATGGTGTTGTACTGGTATTCTGCAGTGTAACAAAAAGGGAGATACGACGCTAGGATAGGACAGAGATAGTCCCGGAATTCCAACCTGATTCAAGAACCTCCTACAGCTTCCCAAGTTTTAACAAAGTATAACAGTAATAATAATTTGCACGGTTTGATGTGATATAAGCTAACTGATCGTTAAGATTAATCACCATTGTAGCGCAATTGTAATGCTTTTCCCTCAGTTGGTCAGAACAAAAGTGTCAGACTTGTTACTTGTTTAGATGACAATATACAGTGAAAATTCTTATTTAGGTCATATATTGCTAGACGTAGGCTAGAATCTGTGATTCCCAAGTACAGTATCCACACCGGTGCGGTGACTGACAGCCACACATACTCCTCAAAACATTAGATTCATCCGCGCTGGAGCTGTGCCGACGCACAAACCACGTTTAAGAAAATAATTCCACAAATAACTGCAATTGCAGGTTTTAAACAGAGATGGCGACAAAGAGGCAAAACTTACGGACTGCAGCTTTAAAACTTCATAAATCGTAATCTCTAGCTTCCGCTAACTGTTGTTGTTGTTGTGCGCGCGTTCCCAAGAGCGTGGCGTTCCAGCGGATGACATAGGCGTAGCGTAAGCTCCGGTTAGGATATGCTTGAATCAGGAGTGTTTGATTAAGGAGACATACAAAATGTTCAGTGTTGCGGATTCTCCAGGTCCAGATTTGGAAACCCCAGATCTAGGTCAGTGCTTTTCAAACCTGTCCTGGGGACCCCCAACAACTACTGCACATTTTGTATGTCTTCCTCACAGGTCACACCAAGTTAAAGTATCGCAGACTCTACTAATGAGCCGATGAGTTGAATTAGGTGCGTTAAATAAGGGAGACATACAAAATATGCAGTGGTTGGGGTCCCCAGGAAAGGTTTGAGAAGCACTGATTTAGGTCACTAGAACAGGAATGTCCAATCTTGCTTCTAGAGGGCCACCTTACTGCAAAAATTAGCTCCAACACACCTGCCTGGAAGCTTCTTGTGATCCTTAAGACCTAGATTAGCTAGTTCTGGTGTGCTTAATTAGGGCTGGAGCTAATCTCTGCTGGAAGGTGGCCCTCCAGGAGCAGGATTGGACTCTACCGTTGTAGAATGTATGGTGAAAGTCAGAAGCAGTTGGATTTGGCTCTAAATCCCTAGAGAGGGTTCTTCTGTCATCAGATGTGAAATTCATGTGACTCATTCAAGGTTAAGAACAATATTTGGGATGGCTGTTCCAGCTGCACCTGGATAGACTCTGTATTCCTTATTTGGACCAGTATTATTAACAATGCACACATAGAGATTTTTAAGACTGATATAACCATTCTTTCATGACTAGGGCATTCCTAGTTACCACAGTTTATGTAAACAGGCATATTTTCCCACACACTGTATATGATTGTATTACTAATGAGTTGTCATCATAGTACTGATAAATGAACTCCACTGAGCATATTCTATATGTCTGTTCTCAGGAACAGTTCAACAAGTTCCTAGTCAACAAAGCAAGTTCCTAGTAGATACTAACGTTGTTTTGTCACAAGCAGAATTCAAGAATTGCTAATGGATGTTTTTACAAACTCCATTTATGATTCTCTCCTTTTTATTCAGGCTGGGTGGAAGGAACTCGTCTGTCAGACAGACAACGTGGTTGGGCCCCTGAGTCTCATCTGGAGACAATAGTCAGTGACAAAGCAAGAAAGCGCAATCTGCTGGACACCATGAAAATTGCTTCAGCTGCAATGTGAAGCAATATGTATTGCCTTCAATGTTCTCAGGTGGACTTTTTCAATTACAATTTTTTAGTATTACTTTAAAGCCTTCAAGAACTTTAAGGATTTATGTCTCAACTTCATGGGAAGTTTCTATTTATTTTGTGTATACACTCAAGCTGATAAGGGTGATGTGGGTGTTATGGCCTCACCCATGTCAGGGTACTACTCCACACCCTGCAAAAGGGTCTGGCAAGATGCTGAATTACAGCAACTGAACTTCTTAGATACCTTATGGACATTGACGGACTTTGCAAATGGCACAAATGCATCCATATGCAGTACCTGCTCCAAATGAGTATCTATGCAGCTTCCATAGTGTTTCTATAAGACTTTCTTCAAATTTGGAAGTGGGGAGTCATTCATGGGCAGAGATTTGGACTACAGTCTGTTGTCCTCAATCTGAGCAAGCCGTCTCACTGAGGAACCACGACAGCTGGATATAAGACATAAGCTGGATCTAAGTTGGCGTCTAACGCTGAATACTGCACCAAAACTACTTGTTCTGTTATTTATAAACATCAGATCCCCTTCAGCGTGGAATATAAATGCTGTCGGACTGCAGCCTGATGGGAATACAGTTTGAAGAGTTGTTGGTGTGCTCTAGGACACAAGATGCAAAAGGACAAATTATTAATAGCTGTGAAAAACAGTGGACTTTAGCAAAGTGCAAATTTTATTTAGGATCAAGAATTACGGATGCCTACTTTTTAAGACCAAAAAGTGTACAATACCCAAGGTTGTCTACAATGTACATAATATAGGTTTTTAACATAAAAGCTAAAAGTATTATTTTTCATGGAGTAATTCCATCTCTGCTTCCTGTTCAAACTGATTAGCATATAACTGTAATATGCCTTAAAAATAAACAGATAATTAGTTTCCTGAAAGAACATTTCATGGTTTAGCAGATGGGGTTTTTAGTCTTATCAAGTGCACTTTGAAGAATTATGGGAAGGCCATTAGGTAGCAAGAGCTTAAGAAAGAAGAATCGGAATGAAAGAGTAAAGTGGCACAGGATTCAGTAGGAAATCAAATGCTTTAGTGTGATTTACAATACGAAGAATCAATGAACATTTCATTAATGTTTCTTTAAGTATGACAAAAAAGACCAGACTATATAAACAGCTTCTTGGCTATATGGAAATTTAAAAAAAAACAACAGTGGAAAATGGTTTTGTGATCAACTAAACTGTACTTGAAATATTCACAAATGATTGGTTCCTGAGGTGAAACTGAAATCTACTTGAGCCCTGACCCGTAAACAATAGTAGCAGACAGGAAAATTACATTAAAAAGTACAAGATAATGCAAATACAGTAACACTTCACAATTAGGTTCAATTTGTTAACATTAGTTAATGTATTAGGTATCATGAACTAACAAAATAAAATAATTTTAAGAATTAATTTAGGTTAGTGTTCATTTCTACATATACTAATAAATTTTTAGAATTTCAAGATTTATAAATAATGTATTACCCTAGTAAAAAAAAAGTGATGTTTAAAATACATTCATTTCATTCTTAGTATAGTTCAAATCTATTAACATATTTACTGACACATTGTTCGAGACTTAGTGATATAAACATTTGAATTAAACTTTATTTTGCGTACTACTTGTGCACAATGCACATTTTTTTAATATTAAGCCTAAAATGTGTTTTAATGTCACAACTGTTGAGGATTGTATGATCTTTGAATAATATTGGTCTTTAAATGTAAGATATTTAAAGTGTACCTAAAGTATACTTGCAACAGTTCCACTTTAGCACAGTCAGTACTTCAGTATATCTTTAGTAAGACATCAGCACTACTTCCGGACAATTAAAGTTCATTAAGTACAAAATTAGTTGTTCCGATTCAGCAGACTTTAAGTGTATCGGTTTAGTATACCGTAAGTACAATTGCAGGATATTTTTTATTAAGTACATAAATATGTAAATGTATATGTAGTATACTTAGCATGAAATAAATGTATTTTAAATACATTTTAGTATATTTATTTTTCACTAGGGTATAAATGGGAATAAATCAACAATGAACAATAGTAATGCTGTTCATTTTAGTTTAGTTTAGGCCCGGTTTCATAGACAGGGCTTAGCCAAAGCCAGGATTAGGCCATAGTTCAATTAGGACATTTAAGTAATTTTTATAAACATGCCTTAGAAAAAAGCATTACTGGTGTGCATCTTAAGACAAAACAAAGGCACTGACATGTTTTAAGATCTGTCAGTGCAAGTTTCTTTCAGTTGAACCAGCTCAGATTTACATTTTAGTCTAGGACTAGGCTTAAAGGGATAGTTCACCCAAAAATGAAAATTTGATGTTTATCTGCTTACCCCCAGGGCATCCAAGATGTAGGTGACTTTGTTTCTTCAGTAGAACACAAACGAAAATTTTTAACACAAACCGTTGCAGTCTGTCAATCTTATAATGGAGGTGAATGGGAATCACGGCTTTGAGAGTAAAAAAAAACATACACAGACAAAACCAAATTAAACCCTGCGGCTTGTGACGATACATTGATGTGTAAAGACACAAAACGATCGGTCTGTGCAAGAAACTGAACAGTATTTATATTGTTTTTTACCTCTGATTCACGCAATGTCCGAACTGTCCTGAGTGGCGGCATGTCCTCCTGGGCGTGTTCTCAACAGCAGGCGTCTTCTTCTTGCTTTACGGCGGATCACAGACTTATAAGTGCATTACCGCCACCTATCTCTCAAGTGGACCATTGACACTCCTAATTGAGATTGTAGATAGAGTGTCAATGTCCATTTGAGAGATAGGTGGCGGTAATGCACTTATAAGCAAGAAGAAGAAGACGCGTCTGAGAACGCGCTCAGCAGGATGCGCCACCGCTCAGGACAGTTCAAACAGTTCGGATATTGCGTGAATCAGAGGTAAAAAACGATATAAATACTGTTTAGTTTCTTGCACAGACCGATCGTTTTGTGTCTTTACACATCAATGTATCCTCACGAGCCGCAGGGTTTAATTTGGTTTTGCTTGTGTACGTTTTTTTTTACTCTCAAAGCCGTGATTCCCATTCACTTCCATTATAAGACTGACAGACTGCAACGGTTTGAGTTAAAAATCTTCGTTTGTGTTCTAATGAAGAAACAAAGTCACCTGCATCTTGGATTCCCTGGGGGTAAGCAGATAAACAACAAATTTTCATTTTTGGGTGAACTATCCCTTTAAGCCTTGTCTGTGAAACCGGGGGCTAATGTATTAACTAATGTTAACAAACTGAAACTTTTTGTAGTGTTCCCTTCCCACAAACATGATCTGATGGTTAGGAAGAAGAAGATTGTGATGGAAAGAGAAACTTGCTGTTTTTTATTAGCCACTTGGAGGTTTCAATATGTGCTCGAAGGAGCCATGAATAGTCTAATCTCAAGCACGCTGCATATTAACAAACACCCAACATGCATCCAGACGTAGACAGTGAATTCGACAAACACACAATCAAAGACACACACACACTCATGAGAACTTCAGCACCAGGTAGAACAGGAACATCTCTGCACTCACTCCCTCACATAACATTATCATCTGCACTATGTGGTACTAGACTAGACTAGTACTATTACCAACTGTTTTAACATGTATTATCACTGATTTACACTATATAAACTTTGCACATGCTGAACAGTCAGTGTCATCTAATAGGAGACAGGCCATGATTAAGGGAGACACATGCACGAACACTCCACAAATCATATCCAAAGAGGTTCTAATGAGAACGTACAGGTGCCGCTTGCAAAGAGTAGCAGTGTTAAAATAGGAGGAGTGCATGGGTCTATGCGTGCACCACTTTTTAGAAGAACCTAAATTTCAAAAGTCTTTCAGTCTGTCAAGTAAGTGCTACGAGATACGGAGAACCAGGACACACGCTTGGGACAACTGAGTGGATCTAATGACCCAACAGAGAACTTCTGCTATAGAGCTGCACATCACAAAAACTAAACTAAAGTGTAAATTCTTGACCAGAATTTCAACCAGAGCAACAATTAGGGGATACTAAAACTGGTCTGTTATGAAAGAATGGTGTAAAATGGGTTTGAGAACCAAGTTCTCTTTTAAAATACTAAACCTGAAAGCATAAGTGTGCAACCCACCCGCAGCTCTGAGTGTCCAGCTTTATGAGTGAGTGAACAGAGCTAATAGTACACTTGGTTCAGAGTACAGCGGATCTGAACAGAACAATGTGTTGGTTGAGATGTGAGATGTGTGTCCTATGGTACATTAAAATACAGTGAAGGGTTTCACTGTATAGCAGGATAAGAATCACCCCGCTAATTCTTCCAATTATCGATTATCCGTTCCTTTCAACCTGGAGAAGCATAAAAAAATCGACGGTCAGTTTTTTTGAAGTGTTTGTCAATACAAGATTTTGTGCCTTGTGTAAGAATGTGTAGTTTTGAATCATTCATAAATGTGTTTTTATCTAAATTGCCACATTGAATCAAATGCAACAGATTATGCAAGAATGGTATTATGATTTACACAAGTCGTTTATAACCCACTGATAAAAATAAAGCTCTTTCATGAAGCTATATCTCAGTTCATAATGGATATTTATGATTTTGAATATTTAATTATGCATGCTCATTTAACTATTTTTACATTTCAATTACCTGTGCTGTCATCTACCACATTTAATCTTTAAGATCACAATTTTACAATCACAAACAGCATTTTAACACTGATAAATGTAATCTTTAGCAAATTTCAAAATGAATATTATTTTTAATACTGTAAATTTTAAGTTGATTTATAAAATTTAAAAACCAATTTTTGAGGGGGAAAAAAACAGTTCTCAACTCATCGCTATTGGCACGAATTTTAATATCTGCATCCTAAAAATACAATATTTATTATTGGAGAACCTATTTATTAAGAATATACTGATTAAACAATATTGTCCATAAATGCATATAAATAATTAACAGTACATATAAACTGTTAATTTTAACTATTTAGTTTATTGTGTAAAATGTCTATGTCCTAGAAAAGTGACGGCGTAAAAAGGAATTTAACAGGAATACAATGATTGCTAAGCATCTGTATGTATGTATTAATACCTGTATGAGATGGGCAGGAGGAGGTTGTTCTTCTTCAGAGCTTGCACTTTGCTGAGAGTCTGGGGGTCGAGGGCGATATAACAGCGCCGGGCGTAGTCCAGAAGCTTTTCTTTAGACGGGTCAAACTCGCCCACCTCAGCCACCTTCTCTGGAGCCACCAGCAGAAGCTCAGCAATGGGTGTGGTAGAGGCCACCGTATTACGATCTACACCGTGGATCTGGAAGGCCTTGGACATGTTCTTCAACCTCTGGTATGTTACCAGGATCTTTTTATAGCGGAACAGCACACCTGCTGCATCTTTCACTAGAACAACAGCAATAAGGAGAGACAGATGAAGAAAGAGATCAGAAACAGAAGAAAATCACTTGTTTGTCATGTTTCCTCACACTGTCACGCTCACCTCTCTGTCTTTCTCTCCCTCTGGCGATTCGGAAAACCCTTCTTCTCTTCAGAGCCGGATGACTGCCGGTGGGTCTTCCAGCTGAGCCAATGTTCTGAAGTGACATGTTATCTGTGATCACATCCTCTCCTGACATCATTTCCTCTTCCTCTAGGTAGCTATCCTCAAGGTAGTCATCCTCTTCTTCATCTCCTAGAAGAGTGAGGGATTCTGTGGAAGCAGAAAAAAATTAAAAACAAAATATTTCTATTTCAAATTCTGTTCTTTTGAATTTGATTCATCAAAGAATCATGCAAAAATGCATCGCGGTTTCCACAAAAACATTTAGGAAGACAATAACAAAACAAAACAAAAAAAAACATTTTAACCATATTTTAGAAAAATATTAAACTCATGAAAACATACATGGAAGTGTGGTAAATATATAGTCACTCAAAAAAAAAACGAACAAGTTTTTGAAGTTAGCTTCTTGGATCAACTGTAAATATGCTTATTGTAGACATACAGTAAATATTTAAACCAAAATGACAATGTAGCACAAATACAGGTTAAAAAAAACATTTGAGACCCACCTTGCAGTTCATTGAGGGACCTGTTGTTGTTACTGCAGCTGCTGCTGGTGCTGCCGCCACCATGGCCCTGCAAAAGAGGCTGAGGGTGGGGAGATCCATACAAGGAACTTATCTGAGCACTGACTAGACCAGAAACAGAGCTCAGGGCCTTGGAATTGGCTGAAGTCTGTTGGGTTGGCCTCTGCTGGAATGACTGACGACGGGTGGCCGAACGCTGGCTCTCCACTTGTTGATCTGCAACGTTAATGATTAAGGTTAATTCTGTGGCCGGTTGCATAATAGGCTTAGGCAAGTCTTACTAGTTAGTTGCCTGATTTTTTTCCTTAAGACTGGTCCTAACTTTTTTTTTCAGTCAGTTACATAAAAACGATTAAAGGCTGGCCTATCTTGAACCTGAAAAATGAGACTCATTACCCTCAGCTAACTGCTAGCTGGTCAGACTAATTCTGGTTTAGAATTAACCAATCTAAGTTTGTGCAACTGGCCCCTGTGATCTTTATGTTGCAGCAAGGACTCTCGCCCTTATCATGTTAGGACAACACAGCACAGACTTTGGCCAGAAGTGAAAAGAAGCGTCTTTGAATTTTTAAAGTATGATGTTTTATTCATGTTCTGCACATGGATATTATAATTTTATTATAACTAACTCAAACTATTATTAAACATTTTATTAATTGAAATAAGCTCAAATCTAAATATTACATGAAAAACTAATAAATAAATGAAAATTAGAAATGTTGCCTTGACAATTAACTGAAGCAAGTATATGTTAAAACACAAAAATTACTAACTGGAAATAAATAAGCTAATGAAACTGAAACAGTAAGATTTAAACAAAAAACTGATAAAAATGACAAAAGAACATAAAATTTCAAAAAATTTAACCAAAATGAAAGTTGAAAATATAAAAATAAAAGTTAATTCAAAATATTAATAAAAACTGTAATAGTATAAATAATATTAGATGAGTCTAATGTAGAAAGTCAAAGAAGTTTTTACCTCGATCATTTTCTCTTCTCCTTCTCCAAGAAAAACTCCTGGAATCATTACCTGCAGGGAAAAGAGAAATCCAGTTTTTGTCTTCCTGTCAGTCTTTGGGAAATCTGTATTAATACCCAGCCTGACTTCTGCGTCATATGATGATTTACTGCAGCCATGATCATAAGAGAATGTACAAGAACATCTTTTTAAAATAAAACTGTTTATCACCTTTCTTTCTGTGAACGGTAGCAGCGAAGTCCATAATACACTTAATATGCATACAAATGGGGCATAATGTAGCTGGTTTGTAGATTGGAATTAGACTGTTTACTGAATTTGCGCACATAAAATTTATTCAGTACTGATTTTACTTTATAAATCTAACCCCGTCTTTCACTACACAAAGCATGTATGCATAACAAATGAAACTATGTAAACTGAACGGTGTTTATGGGAAAAGGCACAAACTAAGGTGGAACATGACAGTTCTCCCAAACATTCCACTATTTCTCAAATGACCTTTGACCGCATCAACTAACTTTTTCTTGTGGCACTAAATATCCTCTATTAGCACAGTGTTCGCTCACTCTCCGTCTCTTCTCTCCCTCTGGTTCTGTCCTCGTCTCACCGTTGCTTTCCTGACTCTTGGTCGAGAAGATGAACCGATCGAGCTGACAGCGCAGGAAGTCCCTCTCCTCCTCCAGGTCTTCGATGCGTTTCTGCAGCCATGAATTTTTCTCCAGTGAGATCTGCAGTTGTGTGCGCAGGTTAGTGATTAGCAGGTACGAGCTGCTCGGTGCTGGCGGATCACTACCTGCATCACAACACAAGCAAATATCATCACATGTTGACCTATACGTAGTTCACCCAAAAATGATCATGTATTCTGTCTTGATTTACTCGCCTTAGTGTCCTTTCAAACACATACAATTTCTGTTCAACAAAAATAAGGATAATTTGAATATTCTCTCATCATTTCTGCACATACACTCAAAACTTTCAGGCATCAAAAAGTACAAATCATAAAAGTAATCCATAGGAAACAAGTCTTTGAAATCCAAGTTTTCTAAAGAGACACGATAGCTTTATATAAACAATAATTGAAGCTTTTATTCATATATGAACATCGATCTACGCAGATACAGTACATAGAGCACATCAAATATGGTAAACACGGAAGCTCAGCTATGCAGGCTTTATACGCAAGAACCAATGTGAATAAATATGAGAGAATATTAATAATATCTAAATTTGATATTAATGAACGAAATTCTTAAAATGTAATCAGTAGTGTAGCTATTTCAGTTACTTTATTAAAGTAATGTAACTGATTACTTTTTGATTACTTTTCTAAATTTGATAATTTTCAAACATGTTAACCTTATAGTAGAACTCAACACTGATTAATGTCATTTTCGAAATCCTTCATCACTTGAATTAAGATTATAATCATTTAATCTTAAAAGCACAGCCACCACAAAATAAGACTTACTTTGAGATCATTCTGAGGTTAAATACAGATTTAAAACCATAACAAGAAATAGTTTAGTAGCTATCTATGATGTTTCTGAAATAAATTTTTTATGACAGGAAACACTGGCATCTCACAAAGCCTTGGAAAAACAGTTAATTAAAAAATAAATAATAATAAAGCATATACATAAACCAAAATAGTAAATAAAACGGTTATGGAATAAGCATGTGTGCTATTCTGTGTCCTAAACTCCTGAAACATTGGTGTCTCATATTTTACAGCAGTCAATGCAATTTATGAAAGAAGTCTATTAAATCTGTATGTGGGTGTGTGTGAAAAACATCAGATGTAACCCCATTGTAATCTAATAGTTTAACATTCAAATACATTGCGAATATGGAAACATTTGGATTTGTGCCGAATGAGACGCGAGTAATAACCTCCAAATACATCTAGCCAAACCCGCGCTCGCTCCTCGCACGCACACACGCACTGTCACAATCTAATGCACTGTAAATGCCGGATTTTTAAAAACAAATAGGCCTACCGCAAACCCGCGCTCGCTCCGTCTCGTACGCAGGCACGCATTCACTGTCATGATCTAATGCACTGTAAATGCCGGATTTTTAAAAACAAATAGGCCTACCGGAACGCAAACATTTAAAATCTGACATTTTCCGGAACAGGATCCAGCAGGATCAAATTAAGTACTGGTCATAATACTCGCATGATAATGTTTCATGTGAGCAACAGTGTGTTTTGCTGCAGCAGCGCCGATGGAAGCGGTTCACTGACTGCAGCACAGCCACACGTGCCACAGTTACGTTTGGGATCATTTTATTTTAAATGCCATAATGTCAGTTGAAAACATTGCAATAGTATTTTAAAATACAACAACGAGCACCACGAAACCATTTAAAGAGGCGCGTTCAGCGGTCCCCGTGATGGGATAGGAAACAGTCAACAAAAGTAAAATGATCTCAAACGAGCTCTCTTCATTTTATCAAATGATCATAATCACATCTATTCATTTTACAATCCTGCTACTAGCATTTTATTCAGACTAAAACCCCTTTAATTCGGGTGAGAAAGCGGAGTTTTTTTTAAGTGGCTTTTGCACATCCTGTCATGCCGGTGACTGCGTGCTGCTGCAATAGACGCATTTTGCTACATTAAAGTTAACGATTAATCGATTAATTGATCGTTAATTTAAACGACGATCGATCATGGAAATGATCGAAAATTGACATCCCTACTCCCAACATTGGTAATCATTAACATTTTCATAAGTAACTGTAATTTAATTACACTTTTTTTTTTATCAGTAACTGTAACTGATTACAATTACATTTATTTTGTAATTAAATGATGTAATTTAGTTAGCCTACATGTGACTAGTTACTTCCCGACACTGCTTATAGTATCATCCTTGGTGTGAACAGCCCTTAACTTGTAATCTGTAACCTATTACATTTCCAAAGTAACCTTCACAAAACACTGACTATAACGTTTTAATCATTTTTCTAATTCAAGCTAGTTAGTGTGGATGCTAATATTAGTGTAACGTTAGTTATTGATGTATCGTTCTTTGTGTGAACGGGCCTTTGAGAGTAAATGACAGAATTGTAATTTTTGGGTGAACTAAACCGTTAACATTCGCTAAAACACTCGAACAATAACAAGTGATAATGATAATAAACTGAACTGACCGTCAAAGTTCTGGTCATTCTGGTTGTAGAAGCCTCCGTGCTGATCAAAGTTGTTGTCTTCAAAAGGAATGGAGATTTCATACGCATCCTCGTTCTTGGGAGCTGAAGAAAGATGATTAAAGACACGTAGGACGGACATTATTTTTCTGGGAAATTCACAGGTGTCACGTCATCAGCTCCAAAGTGCATTTATGACTGTGTTATTATAGCGCGTGCACTCACTCTGGAGCTCTCGGGAACTCGCGTGCTTCCTTGAGGCTGCATCCGCATCATTCATATTTCCGCTGGTTCAGACACAGAGAGCGGCTGTCGCCCCAAAATACTCACAACATCTGCTTTATTTCTCTGCAGACACGCATGCGGCAAAAAAGGTACATAAAACATGCAACGCTCTAACCGGCTGCCAGATGACTAGTTAGCAGAGGCGGACAAAGTACTCAACTCCATTACTTGAGTGAAAGTACAGATACCGCTGGTCAAATATTACTCCATTACAAGTAAAAGTTGTAAAGACAGATTTTTACTTAAGTAAAAGTACAGAAGTACTTGCTTTTAAAAGTACTTAAGTACCTAAAGTAAATTTCCTTTTTTAGCAACTTAGAATACATTAAACTTACTACTAGCTTGTAGTATCTTTGAAATAACGAGCGTTTAGAGTGTTAAAAACCTATGGGGAAAAAAAAAACATAAATAAATAAATATATATATATTTATAAATAAATAAATCTTTAACACCCCTACCCACCCCCACAAAAGCAGGATGTTAGTGATCTCACACAGTTCTGACAGTGTGTGCACACATCTATAAACTGCAAACGAGAGAAAAAAAGATTTGTTTTAACTTTTCATCAGAATTTTATGATCATTGTATTTCCATGATTTAAAAAAACTGCAGGCAGCTGTGCATTTGCTACTAATCAATAGTACATACAAATCAAATACTATGAACATAAAAGCATACCCTTGAGAAAAAGAAGTATGCTACACAGGATAGTATAAAAAAAAGAATACTCATTATGGAAATAATATAATTTAGTTGAAAAGGGAAACACTTAAGTGCAAACTGATTGCATGTTACTTAAAAAATGTTACTTGCAATGAAGTAAAACTTTATTACAAAGTGCACATTTAAAAAGAAAATGTGTGTAAAAAAAAGTCGTGGAAATTGACTCTTTTAAGTACACAAGTTGCCTTTTATTTACATAATAATATATTACCTGAAAGTATTTAAAAAATAGAATATATTCCTACATTTATAATATAAAATATTTTATAAATGAGATTTTTTGGGACAATTCGTAGAGCCAATGACAAGTAAAGATGCCCAAGAAAAAAAAAAGCTAGTTCCCGTAGAAGAAATGATCTAGTCATATTACACTGACTTTGATTCGGCATTCAAATGTTTTTTCAAATATTAATCATTAAACTTTTTCTTCATTATGATCACACTACCTCGAAGTGTTTTACTATCTCTCAAAAATATCCAAGTTAATTTTAATTCATAAATTTAAATGACCATATCACTTATCATATCACGTCATGACGATCATATCAGTTACCTACACACTCGCTCATTCTGCATGTTTCCGCACTGAAGAAAATGGGTGTAGAATTCAGAAATTGCTAGTAATTTTCAAGTAAATGCTAGTAAATTAATAACAAAGAAACAGCAAATAACACATTAAATTAAATATGAAAATTTGAAGTAGAAAGACTGAAATAGTATTTTCTTGTAAAATATACTCCAAAACTTTACAACTTTGAAAAATCAATATTTTGCAGGGCAAAAAATATTTTGACTGTTACATACATATGCTGTGTCTGAAATCGCATACTTCCCTAATATATCTAGTATGTGAAAAACAGTATGCGAGGCGAGTAGTATGTCCGAATTCATAGTATTCGAAAAACAGTAGGCGAGAAGTACCCGGATGACCTACTACTTCCGCCCGAATTCCGTAGCATGCATACGATGGACACTTTACTATCCCATGAGGCCACGGGAGAGGAGGCGTCATATTCGAAAATGGCGGAAGGCGGCGATGCGGCTCTTTTCAAGTGTAAGTACCTCAGGGAAAAACGTTGTTCATTGTGGTTAAATTGCACTTGTTTAACATGATTTAAGTGAACGTTATTGAAAGTTTAAACATTGTAAATCGATGAGAAGATTTCGTGAATCGGCTGTAGAAAAGATGTTTAATCATTATTATTACTGAGCACATCAAGTTAACGAACAGATCGAGCTAGTGTCAATGCTGTTGTACATCAGCTTGTTAACTGCTTTTTTAACGGAGACGTTCGTTGTTAAGCAGTTTAATGAGATTAGAAAATTCCACGGACTTTAAAACATTTTTTCCCCTCTTTTACTAATATTTAGTTGATATTTTGTTAGCTACATACTAAGCTACTGTTAATACATATGCCACAGCTTGTCAATGTAGCATTAATGGATTGATAATGACTAATGGTTACTGCTTTGACATTACAGGGACTGATGAACACACTCAGCTCCTTATTCAGTGGAGAGTGGCTAATGAAGCCCTCTTCACTGGAAAGCGTAATGCTGCCATCAAAGGTTTTGAGTAAGTAAACAAGTTATGTAAAATGTGCTTTTATTCAGGTGCTGTTGACACTGAACGTAGTAAATACTAACACTTCAAGCAAAGGTCTTACTGCCTTCTTTTTATGCTTGATTTCTGTGCATTTATTGTGACAGAGCTTTTGTGACAGAGCAGGGACTTGAGGGCAAAATTTCTGCCGCTCAAGTCAAAAGAAAGTGGGAGAACCTAAAACTAAAATATAAAGTAAGATTTTTTTTTTTTAATTCACCCCAAAATTTTTATTAGTTAATGATTTGATCATGCTAATGTTTTTCCATGTCATAGTAATGCAATTTATAACAATAAATTACTTTATTTCGTTGCTCCAAATGAGCCTCTGGCATGGTGTTCACAGACATGACTTTATTCTGAGGTAAAATGTGCTAGCTAAATAGGTGATTGTACTTACCTTATTTGATAAATGATTTACAAGCTGTCGACGAAGGCGTGATCTTTTATTTATTTAGTCATTTATCAGACGCTTTTATCCAAAGCGAATTACAAATGAGGACAACAGAAGCAATCAATTGTAGTATTAAAACAACTAAAAACAGATCCAAATAGGTGCATTACCGCCACCTTCTGCTCCGGAGTGTGAAACACTATTATGGCACCTTCAAATCTGCACGTTCAAAATAAAAGCCTTGAAGGAATTTTTTTCTGAAGTCGCACGATGCACAGTCCTGTGGTAATTCCTGCAGTTCGGTAATATTTCAGTCCCACAGACTTTTTAAAGTGATGGTTCACCAAAATGAAGTGTTGAAAGCTTTTCACAATACTTTGGTATGCCCATTGTAACGAATACAATTGTTGCACTTGCATTGAAATAATTTATTATCATAAAATAATATTAAAATAATGTTATTTTGTCTTGTCCCTAAAGCAATTAACTGAATTTGTAGCTACTTGACAAGGTCTAATGGTAATAATTTGTGTTTCTTTCTTGTGAAAAATATTTGACAAATAATATGCAAGATATTTGATAAATAAACAGACTAACCCCCCCAATTTTGAGCTGTATTATAGTTAGGGAGGGTACTGTCAAGCTTAACAACTCAACCCCATCACATAAAATTAAGACAGAAAATGACTATTTTTCTAAACTTGATTTTAATCCATAACTATGTAATTATTTTATTAAAAGCCATGCACAAACCCATCACACACCCCGTCACATATATGTATATTTCTCATTTTTTCAGGGTTGTATACTTGTGACCAGTGTTGGGCTAGTTACTCAAAGAATGTAATATATTACTCATTACTAGTTACTCCTTTCAAAAGTAATACTTTACTTATTACTTTCTGGCAACAGTAATTAGTTACACTACTAGTTACATGACTTTTTCTTCACGCCCCACAGAAGTTGTAACTGTGTATCTTCCACATAAAATTCTTAATCTAGAATATTACTAACAACATATTTCCGCCTCATCATTTTCTAATTGTAATTTCTCTGTTACCCATATACGATTATATTTCATTATGTATTTTATCAAATCACAAGTTTGTAAGAAATTAAGTTTAATTTTCCCAAAATATTTTTAATTACAGTAATATAATGTACCACATGCTGATCAGAGGGATGTGGGTGGGATTTAATGTCAAGAGTAAAGTAAAGCCACAACTTACACAACAGTGTTCAGATCATCTTTTTTCCTGACAATATCAATATAAGGCAATATTTCTATCTGCTGAATGTAAGCTTTTCTATATTCCAAGCTTGCCTGCTGCACTGGGGACATCACATGCATGCGCGAGTCGTGAAAATTATGAAAATAAATCTAGAAATTATTTGATTGTTGGATTTTAACAATACATGACATTTTGATGCTCTTTGATGTGGCATGACAGATCGCTGTACACTGTAAAAAATAGATGTAAAAAACGGGTGAAATTCATGGCAGCAGAAGGTGCTAAACATCTACCATTAAGTAAGGAATAATTGACGACGGGCCGTTGAATTATTAGAAAAAACTTTTTCTTCACGCCCCACAGAAGTTGTAACTGTGTATCTTCCACATAAAATTCTTAATCTAGAATATTACTAACAACATATTTCCGCCTCATCATTTTACCAAAATCCACATTGGATCGCAGTCAGAAGTTATTACAAACACTCAATAGTGATTAATAGTGACAGTCAAGTAGAAGTGTTGTATTAATCTCATTAATTGTCATGTGTAGCTTGTGAAGCTAATTGTAATTTCTCTGTTACCCATATACGATTATATTTCATTATGTATTTTATCAAATCACAAGTTTGTAAGAAATTAAGTTTAATTTTCCCAAAATATTTTTAATTACAGTAATATAATGTACCACATGCTGATCAGAGGGATGTGGGTGGGATTTAATGTCAAGAGTAAAGTAAAGCCACAACTTACACAACAGTGTTCAGATCATCTTTTTTCCTGACAATATCAATATAAGGCAATATTTCTATCTGCTGAATGTAAGCTTTTCCATATTCCAAGCTTGCCTGCTGCACTGGGGACATCACATGCATGCGCGAGTCGTGAAAATTATGAAAATAAATCTAGGAATTATTTGATTGCTGGATTTTAAATCAGCGGGGTTGAGGCATCAGAAGTAACTAAGCTGTTTTATGGATGGTAACTGTAATATTATTACTGAAATCTTATTAGTAATTAGTTACACTAATAGTTACTGCAAAAAGTAATATTATTACAGTAACTAAGTTACTAGTAACTAGTTACTGCCCAACACTGCTTGTGACATGGTTGAGTTATTCATTTCAT